AAATGAATTCAATAAAAATTCGTATAGACAACAATTGTATTTATTTTCTTACAATTAGTCATTTCAAGATATTAAACTATTATTTTCTTATTTCTTAAACTAATTATATGAATTTTTGATATATTACAATGTTACAATAAATGGTTAATGCTTTTTCAATATATCCCGCAAATTTAATTAATTGCTCCAGCTTGTTTTTAATTTTTTATTATGGATATTGGCAAATATTAGTACAATTTTTTATTATGTATAGTAATGCATTGTTCAAATGTAACTTGTTTTTTTTGGGCGGGTAGTTTCAGTCCGACGGATCACAAATTGGCAACTTGCAGTGATGATGGAACTGTCAGAATTTGGGATTTTCTTCGCTGTCACGAGGAACGAATTCTCAGGGGTATAAGAATCTTTGATCTTATTTATTAATAATATACGAAATGTATCTTTTTTTTGCTTATTATTTAAATAGTTTAGTTTTGACATATATATATTTTTTATTTTTATAAATTATATATTTCATATACATACATATATATATTACTATTATATATATATATATATGATAGTCTACTTTTTAAAATAGAATTTTTATTCCATTATTAAAAACAAATGACTTTTTTTTCGAAATTTTACATTATTCGATTTTATCTTATTATTTAGCAAATAAAAAATCACACGTACATACATACATATATTAAACACAATAGTATTTTTTCTACAGGTCATGGTGCAGATGTCAAATGTGTACATTGGCATCCACAAAAGAGTCTAGTCATTTCTGGCAGTAAAGACAATCAGCAGCCAGTGAAACTTTGGGATCCGAAAACTGGACAGTCTCTGGCGACTCTTCATGCACATAAATCTACCGTGATGGATGTCAAGTGGAATGAAAACGGTAACTGGTTGGTAACTGCATCAAGAGATCATCTCTTAAAACTTTTCGACCTCAGGAATCTTAGTCAAGAAGTTCAGACTTTTCGTGGCCATAAAAAGGAAGCGTCTAGCGTCGCGTGGCATCCAAGCCACGAAGGTCTCTTTTGTAGTGGTGGTAGTGATGGCGCCATACTCTTCTGGCATGTTGGGTACGTATTGTTCTTGTCTGTAATCATAGTACATAATCACTTTTGATTTTACTTATATGATTGCTATTTTTCTTAATACTAAATTGATATTGCAGTTAACTTTATCTTGAATTTCAGAGCGGATAAGGAAGTAGGAGCGATAGAACAAGCGCACGATAGCATAGTTTGGACATTAGCTTGGCATCCATTGGGTCATATCTTGTGTTCTGGCAGTAACGATCACACGTCTAAATTTTGGACGCGTAACAGACCAGGAGATCTGATGAGAGATAAATACAATCTCAATACATTACCGGCAGGTTCGGCCGGTATCGATGATCACGAAATTGGTACTGAATATTTCCTAAAATTATTTTAATGATATGATATAACATTTAATATATCTTATTTTCTCTCTTTCTCTCTCTCTCTCTAATATCTTATTTCGCTTTATTTGCCTTAGCTGATGAAGCAGCAGTGATACCTGGTATGGGACCAGAGGATAGAATCAATGCAGATTGTGAATCTGAGGAGAAAAACGGTGGAATCCCCGGTCTGGATTTAGATCACGCTGTGGACGAGGGCAAGAAATTCGCCAATAAGAAAGTTCCGTACAGTAAACCGATACCGCGAAATTTCCAGGCACAGTGGAACGAAATAGAAGGCGAAGATGAGCAAGTCGAATTAGTTAATCAGTTCGTCAATCAATTAATAGAGACAACGCCAGGTGCCGTGCCACTAAACGAAGTTACGCCCAACGCTATTATATTATATGGGAAAATGATTCCAGTGGAATGTAAGCAATATATTTTAGTAAAATAAGTATAATCAGTCTTAAACATATATATCGTTCTAAGCATATCGTTAAAGCATATTAATTTAAAAAAAATATGCAGTTACATATAGTTATTAAACTGAGTTGCATCTTTCAGCTGGCTCCAAACTGGCACAGGCAATCAGTAAAGGAACCGAAGCTATAAACAAACTAGTATTTTCTGGTGAAGTAGAAGAACTACGGGAGTTGGTATGTCCAACGAATGAAGATGACGTCGAAGAATATCTGCTGGACGACAAAGAGATCGATTATTCTAAAGTGCCCAACGTAAATTTGCCACCACCCTTGCCTAGTTCCAAATTCGCACAGAATCCGGAGCTGTTGAAATCGCTGAATCGTGGCGGCAAGCGTAAGTTCGATCAGCTGATCGGCTGGAGCGATGGTGGAGCTAGCGATCGTACATCTAAGATGCATCAGCCAGTCTTCAGTGGTGTGATTACGGAAGACTCGCAGTCCAATGACACTGATTTGAGATTTGGCAAGTCAAGTCTCGCCGCGGAGAGCAATTCCTTCCATAGCGGCCAGGATGAAGATCATAGGAGGAGTGGTCTTCACGATCTATCGAGAAGTAATCGTGGCGATGAGGATCTTAGATTTAACATGTCTGCCGGTCCTGGTAGACCCAGTTCACTCAACGAATATGATTCGCGCAGCAACAGTTTTGCGGACAAAGATTTTCGTAATTTCTTGTCATCCAAGTCTTTGAATGATGACGATTATGACGAGCGGGAACATGATAATGCTGGCGGCCGCTGGGACGACGAAGAGGCCGATGGATCGCGTGGCAAATTGGACAGTACATTCGGCAACAATTTTGACAAACGCGACAATGGCGTAGCAATGGGCATGGGTAACAATATGCATGGTCATATGGCTGGCATATCGCATCTGCCGAATCATCATAACATGCAAAATATTAATCCCAACATGCCGCCACCGATACCAAGCCTAGTGCCGCATCCCAACATGTCACAGCATCCTGGCATGCAGGGTAAATCGCCACATCCTGGTATGCCCGGTATAGATGGCCCGATGCCATCCCATATAATGCCGCCCCATCCAAACATGCATCCAGGCTTTGGACCCAATGGACCGCCGCCCGGTGGTTTCGGACCCAATTTTCGACCACCACCGCCGAATAGCAATTTTGGCCCAAATCATTTTAGACCAAATCCAATGCTACCATTTGGACCGAATCAGGGCCCGCCGCCGTTTGGCAATAATTTTCAGGGACCGCCCAACTTCCGCGGACCAAATGTCGCTCCGATGAATTTCGAACGACCAAGTTTCGGACCTAATTTCCGCGGCCAAACTCCACAGGGTCAGTTGAACAATTTTAATTCCAACTTTGGCAACTTTGGCAAAAACGGTCCCAATCGCGGCATAAGTCGTGGTGGTGGCGATATGGGCAGGGGCGGCTATAATAATCGCGGCAGAGGACGTGACAACGATCAATCGAGAGGAGGCAGGGGAAGAGACAATTATTGAAGAGATTTCTCAGAATAATGTGCGTGATTGTTGACAATGTTCTTATACCTCGATCTAAACTGTCTTGCATGAACTGTTCAGTGAAACTTTGACTCAGTATATAAGATAATGTGACACGGCGCCCTCGAGTAAGTGAACTCTGTTACTCATGTATGTGAAAATACCCGGTATTCATATGGTATTTTATGAAGTATATAGATATATATAGATATATAAGATATATAAGATATATATATGTATATATATATACTACTATATATTATATATATATATTTCTCCTTCTTTTTACGATTCGCCTATTGAGCTAAACAATCGAGTACTCTGTGTGTAAGATTTGCGCAAGTCGATTGTACAGAGAGGGTGAATAATTAAACTTTCTTTAAAGAAGAAAGAAGAGAGACAGAGACACGAGAACGAATCGCTGATTCAGATTTGAATTTACTCTGAATCGAGTTGATTTATGTGGTGCAGTATGCTACAATATGAACAGTTTTTTTTTTCAAGATGGAGAAACACGAAATTGTAATATAATGTATTAGGGATTGGCGACACGAATACTAATCCGATAGAAACTGTTCACAAGCTGCCTTGCGAGGAAATTCTTATTCCATATGTGTCGGCAAGCATTAATCGCGTTGGGTGATGTATCATCCTAGAGGAGAATGAACACGAATGTATGACTGACTTTTGTGTCTGTTTATCGTCCGAAGGATGTGAGAGTGCCGGAACAGTCTATCAACTATTAATAAAACGGAATAACATAAAGCATCTTTCGTTTCTGCCCTATTTTCGCATGTGTTATACGATAAGCGAGCGAGCTCAACTGGGATAACCGTGACATAAAGGAAAAAGAATTTTTTAAAGATTTAAAAAGGAAAGTTTTCAAATAGTATATATTATTGAACTTGATGCAACAGAGAGTTGTAAAGAAGTAAGTTTCTTATAACTTTAATCATAAAGTTATCCATTTAAAGATTATAAATTGTGACTTATTTCACGCTACTAATTTGAAAGCTTGTAATACTATATTTCTCTTAGTATCTTTATACATATCTGTTGAATATATATAGCTATAATTTTTTACAACTACTTATGTAACAATTATTAGATTATTGTTGAAAACGCTATTCTAATGTCACAATTATCCTGATTGAATTTATATCGATTTTCTCTTGATCTTGTATAATATGCAAATGTAATACAGCGAATATCGAATCATGATGAAATTTTGAACGGAAATAGGATTACATATTAGAGATCGAAACCGATAATGATAACGAGTCAATGAGTTTAATGTTTCATACTGTAAATTTGTGTTTTTATAGTTGCACATAAAAAAATTAAGGTACATTTTCTCTATATAAATTTTATCGAAATGCGAATTTGATCTGTTTCGATCTCTGAATTATGTTCCTCATTAGGAACATTTTGAATTGTAATTTGATATATCCATCGATTTATTTCAAAGAACGTACATAATTTGCGTTATTTATTAATTATCAATAAATTGCATTCTTTTAATAATAACTCGTTGAGAGAGAGACTTGATTCTTTTTTTATGTAGTGGTAGAACTACAATCCTTTGTGTGAGGTGAGGTTATATAGTTCGCAGCAGTTCGCAAAACATAACCTTCAAGTTGCAGAGTCACATGCTATTTTTGCAACGGATAAATATTATCTAATAAGAACGATGGGCAAGAAAGGCAAAAAAGCAGGTGGTAATTTAGGAAAATCTTTAATCAGGGATCGATTTGGATCTACGAAAACTAAGAGAAACAACAATGAGTCTATGGTAAAACAATAAATTGTTGTAACCTTTTCTTTTAAATGTCTTTTTTGACAAGTGTAGGGCTTGTGTAGTTTTTGGCGAGTTGGGATTAATTCCACAGATGTTTCATAAACAATGCAATTTGAAAAAGTATTCTGTCATGTTCACATTTTTAGTCATTGCAAATAACATATTCATTCATGACGTTTATTAGAAATTTTACCAGTTGCTAAATGTATCTACTAAGTATTTCATCTATGATATATTTGTTAATAAATTGTTGATAAACCATTATTTAGAATATTTTTCTTGCTTTTTATATAGCTTCACACTGCAGAGATCAATGACGGTTATGATTGGGGTCGACTTAATTTGCAATCAGTTACAGAGGAGAGTTCGTTTCAAGAGTTTCTGTCGACCGCTGAACTTGCAGGAACCGAGTTTACTGCAGAAAAATTAAATATTAAATTTGTGAATCCCAGTAGTAGTGGCTTGCTTTCAAAGAGTGAAAAGGAAAAAATATTGGAAATACAAGAAAGAAACAAGGGCCTTGTTAAGATACCTAGAAGGCCCAAGTGGAACACTTCCCTAAGTGCTCAGGAATTGCACACTCTTGAGAAAGAGGCATTTTTAGAATGGAGACGCAATTTGGCCAAGTTGCAAGAAGTGGAAGGATTGATATTAACGCCTTATGAAAGGAATTTAGAGTTCTGGCGACAATTATGGAGGGTAGTAGAACGCAGCGATGTAGTTGTACAAATTGTAGATGCACGCAATCCACTGCTCTTTCGCTGCGAAGATTTGGAATGTTATGTTAAAGAAATAAATCCTAATAAATTAAATATGATTCTTCTTAATAAAGCAGACTTTTTAACGGACGAGCAAAGAGAGGCATGGGCAAAATATTTTACAGACTTAAATGTACGAGTGGCCTTTTTTTCTGCTACGTTAGCAGCAGAAAAACAGTCAATACAAGAAGAAGATGAAGATGAGGCAAAATCGATAGATAAAAATGATGATTGTTTGAATAAAAAGGATGAAAGTAGTACTGACGAGTGGCACTCTGAATTTGCTTCGGAATCAGAGTATGAAAGCGCGGAAAATAGTATCATTGACGGTGATACGTCTACTGTACCTAATATAGAAATTGATAATGACAAACAAATGGAAGCTCAATATGCAATGGAGAACTTAAAAATCTCTACGACAGAGGAAGACAAAACAAAGAAAATAGTTAATTCATCGAAATTATTAAATAGAGATGATTTCGTGGAATTATTTAAAATAATTTTTAATGGTAATAAAACCTACACAGATGGAGTAACGACGATTGGTTTGGTAGGATTTCCGAACGTTGGAAAAAGTTCTACTATCAATGCTTTGCTCATGGATAAAAAGGTTTCGGTGTCTGCCACACCGGGTAAAACTAAGCATTTTCAAACTTTGTATTTAGACAAGGATTTATTATTATGTGATTGCCCAGGTTTGGTGATGCCAAGCTTTCTTTGTACAAAAGCGGAGATGATCTTAAATGGTATATTGCCGATTGATCAGATGCGAAATCATGTTCCAGCAATTACATTGCTGGCTACATTGATACCTAGGTACATTCTAGAGGATCTTTATGGTTTTATGTTACCTATACCATCCGAGGGAGAAGATTCAAATCGCGCTCCAACTGCAGAGGAGCTTTTAAATGCGCACGGTTGTATGTAATCAGTTTAAATTGAAATATATTAAAAAGTATTAAAATTAAAACCCCTAATTTTATATTTATAATATTACATGTTGTATATATATAAATTATGATTTATGTTCACACATTTATTTAATAATTATAATGTATATTTCTATAAATTGATATCGTATTTGTTTGCAGATAATAGAGGTTTTATGACACAGAACGGTCAACCAGATAATCCACGTTCAGCCAGATACATTTTGAAAGATTTCGTTAATGGTAGATTGCTATATTGCGTTGCACCGCCAACGTTTAATCAAGAACGCTTTCACATGTTTCCGCCGCGACGTCGTAATATATCCGCGAACAGACACGTACCACCCCGAACGATTCGCGTAAACGAAGGATGTCGAGTAACGGTCAACGCTGTAGATCGGAAATTTTTTCAGGATGCTCACATCAAGAAGATTTGTGAACCTGTGCTGCAACACTCTACAATGTAATGTCAAAATGTTGGCTTTATTTAAGTCACTCTTATACAATAGTGTGACAATAATCATATAATCTATTAAAATGTGGTCGAATTCTAATCGAATGACACTTCGTCATACATGATTGAAATATATGTACATTATAAGTGTTTATAGACTTATCAGAATGTCTCGTATTACTTCATATACAAAATTCATTTGACTGGTATAATTAATTTCCAGGCACGCGGGATCAACGGTTAGTTTAACAGAATCGGTCGACGGTCATTCAGATAGAATCAAAAAACCATGGAAAATTATAAATAAACACGTTAATAAAAATAAACGTGAGAAGGCTCGAAGATTGTATGCTCATCTTGACCAACACTGAGTACAAAACATGTGAAAAATACTATCGTTTTGCATTTTCTCAATCATAGCTATACGATTATGTATATATAATATGTGTATATAACACTGCACGTTCGAATATATATACATATGTATATATACTCGAATATATGTACATATAATGTATATATATATATATTTATATACTCGAACATATTTTTTTGTACCTCGAATATATGAATATATAAATTACATATACATGTATATTATATACACGTATGTTGTAGATTTATATTCAGATGTAATCGTGCACAATACATGTACATGTATGTATATACTTAAATATTATAATGTTTTATATTTTATACTTTCTGCATTTATTCTTTATCCCTTTTTCGTTTCATGCTTGAAGATTGATACTATTCTACAGATTTCGTTTAATCCTGATGTGATGTGAATCGACTTTATCAACTAGAATATTAACTTCAATAGTATACCATGTTAGTTTAGATTCCATGAGAATAACCGTTAAATAGGAAGCACAAGCGGATTTCTCCGTTCGAGTTAAAATTTAGTCCACCTGATTTGGTGGCTGAATATACATATATACGCGCAGTAAATTATATATAATTTAATTTCTGTTATAAATAAATTCCAAGTTCGATGAACACCAGATTCCTGATAATTCTTGTCTCGATGACGGATTTTTCAGTAAAATAACACAGTGTGCAATATTGTTCTTGCAAACTTGGCCTCAAATTCATGGAGTAGTTCATCTATATCATTGTCTAAGTCTTCGCTATTTGCCAACTAAAACACATATTTGCGTATTACAAAATTGAAATATTTCAAAATATAACTTAAAGTTAAAAATATATATACCACTGTTACTAGCTCGCATATAAGAAACGAGCCTACTGTGGCCTCTTCGTGATTATCCTGAATGTCAATATTGATCAAATGTACAGGTTGATTATCTTCTTTAGTTCTAGATTCCATGCATTCGATTACTTGATCATACACACGTTCCTCGCATGTAATTAGAATATCAAATTTATCCTTGGACATTTGAAACCGTTCCGGTCTAGGTTTTATTCGACGGTTCCGATCCAACATATGTAGTAAACCATTCTGTGTATAACTGTATTAATTGTTAAGGGATAATTAATATAGAAGACAGCATTGTACAAAGAAAAATTCTTTTTTTATTTAAATAAATTAAAATTAGCAGCTTAATAGCAGAAACTTATAAAGGTAACAAAGCAGATTTATATTTTTAATATTACATATGTTAGAAAAGTATCGAAAGGCTTGTTTATATACAAAGGATACTATTGCTTGTCTTTCATCAATAAATCATTGTAGATCTCATCGTATGAAGTTCCAAAGTCGTAGATATTAGGGCGGTCTGGTGCAGTACCAGGTAATTTGACCTTGTCTCCAGTTCCAAATGATTTCACATTAAATCCCTTTTTGCTGAAACAATCATATTTTTAAATGAGATGCATACTTTATGCAACAATCTTTATTTCAATTATTAAATATTGCAATATTTTGGGGGATTTAGAATAGCAATTTGAGAATAAGTAGCAAAAATTGCATTCTACAAGAAGAAAGTCACAAATCACCGAGGATGTAATCGCCAATGGATTAATCGGTTTGCACGAGGTTAATCATTGACCGATACCTCAGAAAAGCATGTGCCTCCATGCTCCTGTTCATGTTACTGGAACATATTACAGCTACGCTGATGGAATTTGGTGCTGGCATTTTTCCGCGCGTTCTATCAACGGTAAAAGAGCCGTGATAGAGTCGTGAAATCGCCTAACCAAAGATAATCTCACGTTTGAAGGTTGTATTTGAAAGGTTACAAAGGATGCATGTGATACGCGACGTATAAATTTTTTATGCAAGTGTAATTTATTTTCTTTTATCTCAATCTAATCGAAGCGTAATGGAGGCGCAATGCAGCCCGAGCGAACGTTAATCATTCCCCGCGGCGAGATGATATTATGCTAACGGATTATTTAGAAGCAATTACGGGAAAATCCCGAACGCTATCACGATCCACGACGATCTGTCTGTCAGGATTTTTGCTCCGTCGATAAAGACGTTGGAGATGTTCTTTAGTGACATCTAAACAGATAAACGTAATACGACATAGTTAAAAAGAGCCGTTATCGACAGAAATACGCCGGGAATAAAAAAAAATCAAACTCGAACAATATAACATTAAAATTTACGAAACTAATGCCTGGTTTATGCTTCGGTCTTAACTCTAAAATCCTAAAATTCAGCAAATAGAATACAGATTTCAGTTAGGACCAATTAAGACTGGCAGCCCTATTGACTGAATTTTAGAATTTTAGGGTTAAGACCGAAGTATAAACTAGGCATAATAAATCATAAAATTAATATTATCAGTTTCTTACTCTCAGTCACTTAAATCCTTCAACAGGAACGCAACTTCCGTAATAATGTCGGTCTTTAATATAATTATTTCGTCGCGCGGTGACAAAAAAAACATTTGGTTATATTTATTATTTTCCAAGTGAAATGTCTTTTATAAGATAATTATATTTTATACATATAATGTATTAAATCTTATCAGATATAACAATCAGTTAATTTCTTCGTATGTATATTTGGTACATACACATCGTGGTCAGCATGGTCCACCGGGTCGACGTTTGGCACCATGATGGTGGTTTATTGGCAGTTCAAACTGGTGCAAACTTCAAGCAGTTGAAGCGCCTGTGATTTGAAGGTATGCTTCGTTTTGGCGCATGCAGGCGGAAGTTCTTTGAAAAGTGATTCGTTTTATCGCGTGCACGAGATTCTTCGAAAAGTGCTTCGTGTGCATAAACGTGCTCGTTCATCACACTTTTCTCTAAGAAAGAGTCGCTCGGAAATCGTCCAGAGCCCTCATCCCGGTGAGTAAAGTCACCGACGAGATATTATTAAAGACCGACATCCTTATGGGAGTTCGCATTCTTGTTAATATTGAAGTGATTAAGAGTAAAAAAACTGATAATATTGTACTAATTTTATAATTTATTAGTTTAGTAGACGTGTTTATCGGTGTACGTGCATTTAAAACTGAATAATACTCGATTTTTCTTTAAAATTGTGATTTCAGTGTTATCGTCAAAGTTCGATTATCAACAGAGATAATAACTGCAGAGAAAAAAATTGTAATTTTTCGACAATATATAGGATATTATAGCTTTACAAATATGCATATTTATTTATAGAGCATTTATGTAATAAAATATCATGAATTTAATAATGTATTAGTCAAATATTTATGTTAATAATAGCAAATTTAATATCAATTATCGATAATGTCAGCGTTCTTCGATTACCTCCGGGCCCTTGGGGCCCTTTTTATACCGCCGAAAATTTGCCCAGGGTTGACGGTCTTTAATAGTATCTCGTCGGTGGTAAAGTTGACGAGTTTGTTTGCCGAGGTTATGCATTACATCGTTATCATATACAGGGTGTCTCTAAATCCCTGCATACGGAGTACAAGACGTGATACTTTATGCTAAAACGAACAACTTTTTCCTTTGACAAAATTGCGTCCGACAAATAATATTTGCGCTTATTTTTATTTGTTAACTTCAACCTGCTCTCCTGCAAAAACTACTTATCGGACGCAATTTTGTTAAAGGAAAAAGTTTTTTTTTATGTTAAAACGAACAACTTTTTCCTGTAATAAAATTACATTTGATAAATAATTTTTGCGTTTATTTGTATAACTTCAACCTGCTTTCCTGCAAAAACTACTTATCGGATGCAATTTTGCTACAGGAAAAAGTTATTCGTTTTAGCATAAAATATCACGTCTTGTACTCCGTATGCAGGAATTTAGAGACATCCTGTATATCCTTCAGTTATGCATACGTTTGTTGTGTGTGTGTGTGTGTGTGTGTGTGTGTGTGTGTGTGTGCTTTATTTTTCATATACCGTTCTTTTTAATTTTTGAAATTTAACGAAAAGCGATCGATTAAATATATATATATTTTATCTCATGGAAATGGGATAAAAATATATTAATACAAATTAATAACGTTCACAAGGCATAGTTTAAATGATGACCCCTACAATACAAAGTTGCACGAAAGTTGCAGTAACACTGCTGCAACATTGCATATTACAGCAATATTGCAGAGATTTTGCAGCGATATTGCTGCAAATTCTGTGCTGTATGGGGAGGAACTAAGAGATTGTTATTTTATACAATTGTTTATTGTCTAAAATTATGATAAATTTGATTAATTTTTTATGAGCGGTTCGCGAGAATTAATTAAGCTATTGGCGTCTTTCTACAAATTGCACGCGAAATTCGCGCGCTCTCGAGTCGGGGTGAATTAAAAAGGCTCGTCATTAAATTGCATAATGCCGGTCGCGGATCTGTTACAAAACCACGAAATAATGACTAGCGCCGCGTATACTTGGTCGGGATACAGTCGACGCGACTTGGGACGCTCGATGAAGATTGCGTGTCTCGAACTCAGAGGCCTGAATTAAGGCGGGGCCCAGGCTTCGACGAGACTTCAATTTCGCGCTCGATGATTCTTGCAAGATTAGTGCCCGGTGTCGCGATCCTCCGAAAGAGAACGTGAATAGTCCGAACAGATTCGGCGAGCGTTTTGAATAAGGATCGAAGGAGCGCTAAAATTACATGTATAATACCACGATTGTATGCTGCCGTTTCTATCACATCATCTCATTTTCTACCCAGTTTCTACCGCAATCTTTTATAATAATCGAATATTCTTTCATTAATTTGAAATCTATTTTTCTTCAATAGAAATATATTTATAGCTTCCGAAATTATTATACGTATATTAATTTAATGAATAAAAATGAGAGACTTTTGATGAATTAAACTTTGAAAAAATGTTTATTATTATTATTATTATATACTATTATTATTTCAAACTAGTTAGAATTGTCTAAAAATAATGTAAAAATGAGACGTTGTATATACATATTAATTTTTACTTTATCGATTGTTACGAAATCATTTTCTTTCTTCCTTAAAATAGGACATAATATAAGAAAAATTCCTTTTATTTAATTTCCTTTTAAATGAGCCGTTTATTTTGAAAGTGGCCTAAGTCCATTTGTCAATTTTTTGTTGTTGACTGTACTAGCGTGTACAACTTGAAGTTAGCTGTCATAAACAACATTTTGCGGTTAAGTATATTCAGAGTATACGATAATTTCTGACACATAAATTTTCGCAATTATTTCAATAATTAAAAACATTACTTTGAAAGTGGCCTAAGTCCAATCTATTATAATGTGGAAATCATAGACCACAAATTTTTAGTATTAGGACATTCATTTTTACCGAATGATAGAGATTTTGGCGTCGTAGAAATGTCATTAAAGAAAAATAATTTACTGTTTGTCCCCCAAGATTATTATAATGTTATCAAAAAGTGCCGGAAAGGTAATAACTTTATTCTAAATGAAATGAAACAAGAGGATTTCATATCAACAAGATTTTTGGAGGACGCAGTTTTTAAAAGGGTAAAGAATTCTAACGGAGAAACAATAAATTGGTTAAAAATATGCTGGATGCGTTTTTTGAGAAATGAACCATATAAAATTTTCTATAAGATATCAATGGATGAGAATGCAGAGTTTAAAATCCTGGATTTATTACCACGTCGGGGTAGACCAAGAAAATTCGAAAATATTGTATTGACACCACTTTATAAAAATATAAGACAAATTTCAACAGCGAAATACAAGGACATGATGGACTTACTACGATATATACTACCGGAGCACCATGACTTCTTCAAATCCCTCCCGCATACACAAAATGTAGATGAGCAGTAAATTGTTATGTAATTTATATAGTTAGAAGATTTCCTGAATTGCATAAATTGTGTTTTTGAAGTGTTGTAAAGAAATAATATAAAATAAATTGAGTATTGTTTTTTCAATTTGAAGCATTTTAAATTGTCGAATGGACTTGGGCTCTTTCAAATTTTATAACAAATCTAGTTGTTAATTTTGAAAGTGGCTTAACTCCATTTGTAGTAAGAAAACACATATTATTCACTTAATAATTGCTATTATTTTAATAGGAATTGTAAATTTAACTCTCTTAGATACACTTAAGCAGTGTGACATGTTGGTATCCTATACGTATATTTTTAATTTTATTGAAACGCAAACTCTTAAATATCTCAATTTAAAGATAAATGGACTTAGGTCACTTTCAAAATAAACGGCTCAAATATTCTTTATAAATTTTTTTAGTAATAACATTATCTGAGAAAACAAAAATTGCGATTTATATGGTTTCCAATCTTTTTTGTATCGTCATTTGACGTGAAATTATTTAAAAACGGATTGCACGAATTTTGTCGGCAATAGGTGATGTAAAATTAACGCGAACGACGTCAAGTACATTTAGCTACTCATATTGCAGCATCCGTATGCTCTCGTTCCGCGAATCATCCATGGGTGCACATGCACCGCAACTTGTACGTACAAACAGATCAACGATGAACGAAACCAATTTAGATCCATAGCTCGTCTCTTTGTACTGACCATAATGGCGCGTGTTATGTGCTCCGCTGCACCTCGCATAGTGATTGCTTTACCAACCCACTTAGATGGGAATATTTTCCGGTGACTGTAATGTTGCGTATCGACGATAGTCTTTTCGAATTTTTATAATACATTTAATATTTTTACATATTTTACGTCTCACCGATTATTAATTTATTAACTTATTAATT